TGACCTGCGCCATGGTGTCGCGGTGCAGGCTGACGATGCCGCCGTCGGCCGTCGTGGCCACGATGGGCGGCGCCGGCAGACCGCCATCCTGCAGACACACCCGCGCCGTGTCCACAGAGGAGAGCGGCCGCTGCGACTGGTAGGAGGCCGACTTGAGCCACGTCTGAGGCAGGGAGAGCCGAGACGGCGGTCACACATCCACCGGGAGACAGCGCACCGGCCGCGACAGTCAACACACCGGCCGGACAGCCAGCACCGCCGCGACAGACAGCACACCAGCCGGAGAGTCAACACACCGGCCGGAGAGTCAACACACCGGCCGGACAGCCAGCCACCGCCGGCCGGACAGTCAACACATCGGCCGGACAGTCAGCTGTCACCGCTCCCAGTACCTGTCAGCTGCCTACTCCCCAATGCACACTGACTCCCTACAGTTGACAAACGGCTGCTGCCTACAGACGCATCCCCGCCGACCCCTGCCTGCACCACATCCGTCCGTCGGCCGGCGCTCCCACCTGCACGCGCGGCTCTGAGCCGGAGAAGTGTTTGAAGATCTGTCCGAAGCTGACGGGCACCTCGCCGAGCTGCCAGAGCTCCAGCACGCCGCCGCCGTCTCCGGCTGCGGCCACCAGCAGCTGGCTGGCGTCCTCCTTGTGCAGGTGGCGCACACAGGCCACCGCCTGCATGCCCGAGTCGGCCTGGGCGCCGCAGTCCAGGTACACGCTGGGCAGCTGCTGCACGTCGGCACACAGTTCCGAGAGCGTCTGGCGCAGCGACACCTGGTGGCAGGTGACGGGCGCGTCCGGCAGGCCGGCCGAGCACGCCACCAGCACGTCGCCGTCTAAACACGACCGCCAAGGGTCAGACGCGACGGGCCAGAACAACAGACCGGCCACCGGCGAGGTCAGAGACAGTCACACAAGCCGGCACTACGGTAAGAGACCATTCATCTGTACAGGTCAGAATCAGTCATCATTTTACACAGCATACAATTACATAGCCAACAGCATAGGCCACGGTATACCTCGGTGTACAGAGGTCTATGTCAGTGTTGATTTTATCAGTACAAAGAAGGTAACGCTTATGTTACAGCGCGTCGTACAATAATAAAAGAAAAAGGGTCACACGCAGTCAGCCCCTTCAAAACCGTGTAGCAAGGAAAGGAGCCACTTACTTTTGGAATACGCCATGCTGGCAAACTTCACAAAGCTGCGGCGCTTCGACAGTTCGAACTTCTTGAAGGTTGCTTCCGACCCATTACCGTTGAGCGCGCACACAGCCAAAAGACCTGCAGAAAATATATGATAAAAGAATCAGCGATTGGCTTTGAAATGCAATCAAACACAATAATTGTACCTTTGAACTTCGAAGCAGTGCTCGTATGTCAGGCATATATTGATAATTTACCCACAAGAAATCACTTATACACGGAGCATTTGAACGTTCAATGACGATCAAATCCCTCCAAATCTCATCTCAGCACAAACACTGAGCAGCATCAACCAAAGGTTACAGAGAGTCACAGCGATGTGCCCCATGTACCACCTGGTAGACGTACCTAAGAGGTGTGTGCTCGCAGCACGGTGCCATGTTGTCAAATCATACGCACCTGATGACGTCAGTCCGATGAACCCATCCGTCGGGCGGCCGCCGAAATGGCGCAGGGTCGGGCAAAACAAGGTGTTCTGGAACTTATCATTGTACAGAAAACTGTCCTTCTTCTCCGAGGCTATTGAGATCTGGAAAGGACATACCGAGACATCAAATCCATTCTCAGAAGTTTTCAAACTGGATTAACAAAATGTAATTACAAGTGACAGTGCGATTAACCTGTCATAGATGTGGTAAATTCTGCAAACGACTTAAACAGCATCTGATCTGATAAATGACTGTCAACTGAGGTCTTTGTTGCAGTAGCTGGCTCAGACACTACCTTTTTGCCGTTGTGGAAGAAGATGGCCTGTACGATGTGCTCGTTGTCGGCGCGGACCGAGTGCAGGCAGTGCCAGCTGTTGATGACGTGAGCCGGACTCTGGAGCAGCTGCAGCAGGCCGTCGGCGTGTCCGAGCAGGAGCCGCGTGCCGGCCGCGTCCCACTCCAGACAGGTGACCGGCGAGCTGCCGCTCCACACTCTGACAGAGCGGGCAGCCGAGACGGGACGGGTCAGACGGGGGCGGCGAGTGGGAATAGGCCAGGCAGGTATGCTTAACATTTGGGTTCAATCATGTCTGAGTAGTTATGCAAAGCATGAAGGCCTGGCTACACTAAGCATTTTCTGCGTGCGGTATTTGCGGGTTTGCGGGTTTTACGTAACATCGTTCTAGAAAAAAAGATATTACGTTTTTGCGATGTTTTTCATGTTAAATTTTAGTTACCTAATATAAGAGTTATATTACCTTTTGTATTTAACTAATGTAAAAGTATTTATAACTTTTTTCTTGAACGATAACACGCAAAAAAACGCAAGAAGAAAACGCATAGTGTAGCCAGGCCTTAACACATAGTTATACGACAATGAGATAGGGGACAAAAGGACAATATTCCATCATAATGTATGTACGTTGCAATTAATAGCAACATCGCAGCAAATATAAATATAGAATAAAAATATAGCATAGAATAAAAAAAAACATAACAAGAGACACAAGGAAAAGGTCCGAGTTTATTCTCAACACTGACATACACCTGCAAAGGTGCGGTGCGGTTAACACTCACAAGTGTATATCCCACGGGGTGTTGAGGTCGGCCACGAACACGTGGTAGCCACGGGCCGCCACGTTCAGGCCCTCCTCCGGGCCGCCGCTGGCGCTGAACGCTATCACATTGCCAGACGAAATCTGACACAGGTTCTCTGCACCCAGTGCTCTGAAACAGGCAGAAGCGTACATAAGCTGTTGTTAACCCTCGCCCGTGTAGGGGGAGGAGTCAAACGCCCTACCCACTCGGTTTTTCGCGAATAACTCGCGTAACAAGCGGTCGATCGCGACGAACATTTCAGTACCCTTGCGTTAGTCAATTTTACACCTACTCTGAAAATTTCATGACCCTGACCCGAAGGACCTTTGACCTGTGACCTACTTTTCGAGATCATGTTTGACCGAAATCGCGATCCGGCGTACGTCGGCTCGCATTAGCCGCGCGTTTGCAGTCTTTTCCTAGTTTCAAGCGTTGAAACATGTGATATGATATTACATACCCGATACGAACATACTCGATAAATCGTTCACATTTGACTGCTTGAAGCGGCGGAGCGGCGATCTTCTGGCCCTCCAATCGGCCGTGCACATCTCGAATCTCTGCATCCGAATCTCTGCATCGGCCGTGCTCATCGCACTGCCGGCGCCTCGCAGAGCCGGCTCTGGTGCGTTTTGTGTTGTAACTAAGGCCCTATATACCCAAGGCCCAAGTTTGCAACAGTGCGAACTTGCAGCCAACCCGCATGATTGATATGACCATCAGCGCTTGCCGCTGGCATAGTCCATTCCAATCACCACACACTCATGTTTCATTTAGACTCGAGAGTGCACTGAATTACATGTCAAGGCTCCAGCTTCCAACAATGTTTTTTTTTCAATTTTCCTAATCCATCTTGTCGTGTCTATCAGGCCTGTCACTAAGCTAATTCTACACAGCACTCCACTAAATCCACACTACACAACAACAAGTCCAAATCTGCACAGTGCCACACTAAATCCACACTGCACCACACCAACTCAGCACCAGCCAAAGAAGCTCGCACCGACAAGTTCTCATCATTATTGCCATACTTTGCAGACTAGCCTCTGCAGAGTACCTATGTCCCAGGGGCCTCAGGGCGAATCTGCTGCTAGATTGGCCATAGTGCCTAAAAATTGGTGATCACCATTTGCTGAAAAATTTGGCGTCCGCCACTCCCCGAATAATTCTGCAGCCCCTATGTGCTGAATTTGGCATAAGTGAAGTAATACCAGACAGGCTCCAACATTTTTGGCGCAATCCCGCCACTACACCAGACATATTCAGCATAGCATGTATTTTTTTTCCTGTCTGGCCAGAGGTGTGATATCACAACCAGCAGAATACCCTGCCGAGTGTGGAGCAGGCTTATGGTGATGGTGATCCAGAGGGGTGTTCACGGGCACCGCACACTGCTGCGTGCGGTGTGTGCGGTGTGTGCAGCAGGCGTGGGGGTAGGGGATGGGTAGGCGATTCTGACGTCACGGCTGCGTGCGGTGGACGGTCCGCTGTGGCCAGTCCCGACCGGCCACAACGATCGCTGTGTGCGGTGACGGAAGGCTGACGTAGGGTAGGTAGGGACGCAGTGGGCGGAGCTTGGAGGCTGTGTGCGGTCCGACCGCACACAGGGCCCGTGAACAGCCCTCGGATCAAGTGTCAAACTCACAACAAGTCATAGCAATAAAAAATATGCAACACTCAACAACAACAGGAGCTGCTTTATTGATAGTTACCTTTCAACATTTGCTGCATTCTTGCTCTTGCGAGAACTAATTGGAGTAGTTCCAACTGAATATATGAGATCCATGACTAAGATATCATTTATTTATTTCAATACGCGAATAATCACGAATACGACATTCGCCCAGTCTCCGCACTGCAGCAATTGAAAATGAAATGTTGTCAAAAATGAAGGTCGCAACTTAAATGCATAAAATGCGCAGTTGAGGCATTCAATAAAATTTGTTAGGTTTCATGACGTCACAAAGCTTTTTTGGCAAGAACATATAGAATATTCGTTATTTAATATTAAATTTCCGTACTAATAACAATAAAAATTAAACATGCTAGATACGAACATATTTTAAATGAAATTATCACTTTTGATACAGCAAAATATTTAAGTATTTTTATATAAACGCAATATTTTTAACAAAATTGATTAACCAATGCTGTTCAATAAATAGTTTTTCAGTTCATACTCGAGACCATAGGTCTTTGATTTGTGTGTTTTTGCTAACAGCATGTTCACGGTGCCTTATAGAACATTTTAGTAGGTCCGAGTTGGGTAGTGGATTGTGTCCGTAAATAAGACGCAATATTATTACACAATCATTTGTATCATTTGTCACTTTGGTAAGGCACTGAAGCGTCCAAGTATTATACATCCAACATCCAAGTAATATTACAGTGGTTCAGTACCTTGAATTAATATTATAGGATTCAGAAGTATTCACCGGAGATAGGGATCAGAATCTCTTTGTTCGTATTATGTTCGTATCCATTCCTTATTCACATAGGTTGAGGTAGCGGTTTGTATCGTTTCAATTTTGGGCTTTGAGCTTCATAGTTTGAAGCATTGTATAGCCTTTTTATTTTGATGGGAACAGGAATGAGTAGTTACCATTTGCTTGTATTTAAAAGGAACTGAAAAAAAAACAAAATGTTTTTGGTGCTGGACTTTTGCAATTGAGTTGAACTGGGATCTCGTAAAAGGAATGACATGCATCAGATTTGACATGTATGTTCATTGTTTGATTTATTGTGTGTTACCATTTAATTATTTCAATTTGTTGATTTTTTCTTATTTCTAGGTTGCTCCAGTTTGCCCAATCATTGGAATTCTGGTGACTGCAGAGTACCTACAGGTCAACTGAGAACAACAAGGTCATGTCTGAATACCAGATGCTGGGAAAGAGTGGGTTGAAACTAAAAGGTGTTGCCGACGTGTCTTTGAAAAAGTAAGTACAGCTTAGTGACCTATTGAAATTGATGCAGCCCCTGGGAGGAAGCTAGTAGCTACACACCTACTTAAGTTGTCATTCTGTGTCTGTCTCTCAATGATGTTCCTGCTGCCTGTCCCATATAAACACCTTCTTATAAAGTTGACTGTTTTCCAGTGTGTTGGTGAGCAAATGCCTTACATCAATGGAAGTTCTTGCTAAAAGTTATATTTTTTCAGAAAGAAGAAGAAGAAGGACAAGACCAAGATTCTAGAGACAGTGGTCAAGGCCCCTGTTGATGCCAGTACTGAGGTGTCAAAGAAACAACAGAAAACCAAAACAAAGGCAGAACTAGCTTTTGAGAAACAGAGGGAGAAAAATGTGAGTTAAACTTCCAGCAAAGCGAGTGTCTAAAATCTATGTTACCACTTCATTTTAAAATGAATTTGACAACTTGTGAGCATTTGGGGGGGTGAGATAAAGATTAGGAGTCACTTCTCTCTTACATTGATTTTTTTGCACAGTTGTTGAAAACAAAGAATGTCCACCAGTAAACACACTTTCGGTGACTTGTTTTGACCACCATTCTGCATTTTTAGGAATTGAAGAGGATCATGGAGAAGGCATCAAAGACACACAAGCAGAGAGTGGAAGATTTCAACAGGCACCTGGACAGCCTCACAGAACACTTTGATATCCCCAAAGTCAGCTGGACCAAATAAGATGTCTCATGGGTACTGGAAAACTTCACTTTGTGTTTCTACCATTCATTGTCACGTGTTGCAGTCGAATTGTCGGCTTCCCACATCGTGCGCCCCTGTGTGCGAGATGAATGGTTCGCGATTCGCGAATAGTGTAATGAATGCTGTGACATCCACCATATGTACTTATGTAGGGTAGTTCTACGAGAGCTGCGCTTACACGGTTCGTCGCTTCCTAATCGTACCAAGCTCATTTTATTTTGAGCATGTCAGCTTACGGTATTGCCCATCAGCGCGTAAATCTAGTTATCGTGGCGAGAATAAAATACACCAAATCTCTGACTACTAACCTGTATTTAACAAACATACAATCGACAATGTTGGGGACCTCTTCCGCATAATCCTCTCGTAGGTGATATTTGCACGTATAACGTACACACACCGCAGGCTGAAGGGGCTTCCGTTTGCCGTCAGTTGTCTCACTGCCGGCGCAGCAGGGACACCGCAGACGTGTCTACCTCTCCGCCGCGGCCGGGGGGTACGGGGCAGTAGCGCGGCAGATCGCGGTGCATATAATTGATGTGTACAGTGACGGGATAGGTGCTCTCACTTCTTCTTTCCTCTGCCCTTGCCCTTTTGTTTGACGGTGCTCTGCATCTTGGTGATACACCGTGGGCAAAACCAGTCTTCGTCGCCGGGTGGCACTTGGATACCGACACATACCCTGTGCGAAAGGAGACGACACACGTCAAATGCCGGCTGACTCTCATGTGGGAAGGGATGTCACGGTAATTGAGGTACACAGTACACACACTAGATGTTGTCCATATGTCATGTTAGAACGGAAACAGCACAAATGAGATGTCCAAACAGGACGTGCCGTCAAAAATGAACCATCGGTGCTCTCTGCAGGGGTTAGACTGAGCATCGACATTTGAACCACCTTTCGAAGCAACATTCTATATGTAACGGACAAGAAACAAAACATGGGAAGATGTGTTCCAACAGGGACTCAGGCCCACTGTAAAAAAGCAAAAAAAAAGAAGCAAAAACAGTTCCATAAATCGCTAGCCTTCGAAAACAGTTCGTTAACCCTATTCCTGGCGGGCTCCGCCGGGACAAGAAACTGGCGGGGGGGGGGGCCGATTCGGCCCCCCCCCCCTGAGATCTCGAGAACGAAGCAAGATAGCGACAAGCGGTAAACGGCATCGGATACGCACGGCCAAGATCTACAATTTTTACAAAGGTCATTTTCAGGTCAGGTCAAAGATGACGTCACAGGGGTCGAAAAAGTCAAAATGGCGGCGCTAGATATGGAGAGTTTTTCTCGAATAACTTTCGAATTAGTCAAGATAGGAACAAACTAAGGGCATCACCGTGATCCTCTCGTCAATCCGCATCGAATGATATATGTTGACCTCGAAAGGTCAAGGTCAAAGGTTGACCTCAGGTCACGTGACCTCGAGGTCATCATGTATATCATTCGATGCGTCTTGACGAGCTGAACACAATGAGACCATCCACGCGTCTGTATCTTGTTCCTGTACGGAGTTATTGGCCAAAAACCTTTGGTGACCTTTGATGACGTCACATGACCTCACAGCTGCCCAACAGCAAAACAGACCTCAAGGTAGTGAAGGTTGATCGTATATGAAGTCATGTATGGTATATGGGGCCATTCCGACCCGTTTTAGTGGTAAAAACAGGGAGTTGATTTTCCCCCCATTGACTTATAATGGGGAGGTCGCGAAATTGACCTGACCTTAGGTCACCGATATCAAAATTCCGAGATATACAAATTGCACATACTGGTACCCTAACTAAACCCTGAAGAGAAGAAATTGATCGGTCAAAAACTCTAGCTCTGGCGTGATTGCAAACTTTTCTGAGGTAGGGTCACCAAACCGCCTCTGGTGACCTGACCTGAGGTCAGATCAACTCAAAATTTTCAGACATGTTGCGTAGAAGCCTTTTAGGAAAAGTCAGAAAATTTGAGCTTCCTAGCTCAACGCGTTTGGGAGAAATAACCAAAAAACCTCAGGGGGGGGGGCTCCTGAGGCCCCCCCGCCAGGAATAGGGTTAAATCGTTAGCCATTTTTGTCGACCCATGACGAGACGTTGCGGCACCAACAGTACTCACCAGTGATACCAGTCGTCGCAGCCGTCGCAACCGATCATAGGCGACCCGTCGTCCTGCCGGCCGCACTCGGGGCAGATCCAGATCCGGTTGCCTTCGCTGTCCTGCAGTTGCCGAGAGACAAGGGATTACAGCCAAATATTTCACACTGCACAGTGCACACGGGTCGCGGAAAGCGTCATTGGGCAAATGCAGAATTTGTTACATGGGGAATATACGTGGCTAGTTTTTTTCGAATTTGCTGTAAACGAGCAATTATGAATAAAATAAAACATTCGCGCTCAACATTCCACATGAGTGGGCAATTAGTGAACGTCTTGGTAAATGGTAACCTGGTGTCAGCTGGCCTATCCGTTCAAAGTTCAATTAAAACAGTCCGTACTGCAATGAACGGCGAACCGCCGACAGTCAGCTGTCATTGCGTAGTGTTCAGTGTACAGTACCGCCCCGTCCCCATCCGTGCTCTGTCCCACTCCCACTCACCAGGAACGAGCCGACCGTCTCGGCTATGACGGCCGCCGGCGGCGCCTTGGGCGACGCCAACGCCTTCTTCGCTTTGCCCATCGGCGACTTCTTCTTCTCCTTCTCCTTCTTCGGCGGTTTGAGCAGCGCCGGCTCCTCGGACTTCTTTTTGTCGATCTTCTTCTTGGGCCGTCCGACGTTGGATGTGGACGGCTCAGGCGTTTCTCGCACCGGCTTGATCGTCCTGTGGGGCGCAGACGTGCAAAGACAATGATCAGAAGTAAGAACGATATGACAAAAAGATGAGATAGCATAAAAAATGATAGATGGAGCTGCGTACGCATTTCTATGCATGTATGGTACCATAGATTATAGTTATGTATGTATGCATTTACGATCATGAGCGATCCACACAATATGGCGTAGCCTGTGTCTCTCAGTCACTACCGGACAGCGAGGGCAACCAAATATGGAGCTGCCCGGGGTGCGGCCGGCATTGGACAGTCGTTATACTTGAAAATGGTTATTTGAAAGCATGATAGAAATATATTCAAGTCTGGATAAGAAATCCCTTTCTCTGCCAACATCCGATCGCATATCTCGCCGTTCTGTCAGGCAATCCGAGACCGAGCTACCCACAAGACAGTAAAGCGTACATCAAATCTACCGGCGCTGGAACGCGGGACCACTAGGCAGTACGGGGCCCGACACCCCGTGACCACTGCCCGCCTGAGGTGGTGTCCGGTTAACTCACAGTTTGGGCGGCGGCGCCGGCTCCGGAGACGGCGAGCGACTCTCGGTCGAGTCCGGACTATTGAGGCGCAGGGTCAGCTTCGGGCCCGACTCGTCCCTGCCACCCTGGAAAACGGCGCACGGTCCGGTCACGATGGTCCATACGCTCACCGAAACGCAAGTTCAGTTCAAAATACATCCCTGTAAAAACACATTATGCGCTCCAGAAATAAGAACGGGAACATGAATATACAATTCAGCATCTGCACATTAACGTTTACAGAACCTAAATATTCAGTCACCGCGATAAAAAGCCTGTCCCGTAGCTCAGTCGGTAGGGCACCGGACTCCCGGTAGTGAGAGCCCGGGTTCGAGACGCTACGGCGCTCGATATTTGAGACTCCTGACGGGGATGGTCTGCGGTTGGTGGGAGCAGCCGCAGCCAGTTGAAGTCGGTTGAGTGGGACAGGCCGTGTCCGGCTTTGAAGGACACGTTAAACTTTGGCATCTAAATTCTCCCGTTGCCCGGAATTGCGCGATTGGGCGGTAGGGGTCGGGATCCACGCAACAAGCTCGCGTGGGCTCCGGCTCTGTCAATCCGTCCATTCAAACATTCGAGCTAAATTCATAAAAAGGCACACCATTTACCTCATGTGCTTTCCCAAATGCCTTTTCTCTCTCCTCTTTTCTCTTCTTCTCCTTCTTTTCACTCTTCAACTCCTTTTTATCACGATCCTTCTTGTCTTTCTTCTTCTTATCTTTTTTGTCCTTTTTGTTTTTCTTGTGCTCCTTCTCCTTTTTCTGAAAGGTTCAAGTGGCAGATTAGCATTGGAAAATGGCATCAAGTTACAATATTAGAACTGAATGTATAAGCCAAGCATGGGAATAGCCATAAGTGAGCAATTTTCTCACACAGAAAAAGATGCTTTCAAATCTCATCTAAGAACTAAGCAAGTCATTCGGCTACATCGCGAGCATAACGCCTACTAAGCAAAACGATATTTGAGGATTTATGCATATTTTAAACTGTTTTGCAGAACAGTTCATTAGTTGACGCAACATTCCTTGAAGCTGATACTAAGACCACTTGAGCATCATGCGTTTACGGCGTACCTTCTCAGCGCGCTCGGCTAGTTCCAGTCTCTTGAGTGGCGTCATGGCGCTGATGTCGGGTGTCGGCGAGCGGGTCATATCGCTGGTATCGGAGGGCGAGCGGCGCGGGTCCAGCGCACGCGCCGCCAGCGGCCGCGGCTTGTCGCGCCACTCGTCAGGCGACTTGGCGCGCGCCTTACCCGCCCCGGCGCCGGCAGTCTCGGCGCCGCGGAACAGCGCCGGCGGCCGCAGGCCCGGCATGCCCGGGAACGGCGGCGGCGGCACGCCCTCGGGCCCGGCGCCGCCGCTGAACGGGAACGGGAAGCGCGGGATCAGCGGGTTGTTGAGCAGCGCGGCCGGGTCCGGCGGCGGCGGCGACTCGCCGCGCCGGCCGGGCAGTTCGGGCGTGCGCGGGCGGTCCGGCGTGCCCGAGTCGTCCGAGCGCGGCGACTGGTCACTAGCGCTCAGCACGGACGGCTTGCGGCGCGGCTCGGGCGCGCGCGGTGTGCCCGGCGTGCCCGGCGGCGTCAGGCTGCTGGTGCTGGCCAGCGGCGGCGACGGCGAGCGGGGCCGCGCCGCTGGCCGCTCCGCCTTAGCAGCCGCCTTCGCTGACGGCCGCTCGGTAGACTTGGGCGGCGGGGCGCGCTCTGCGCCCTTCGCCGCCGCCTTGTCGGCCGCTTTGACCGCGGGACGGTCGGCCTTGGCAGTCGATTTGGCCGGCACGCCCACCGGTTTGGACGGCGAGCTGAACAGCTGCGGCTCGTCCGGCAGCATGGGCGGCAGCTTCTTCTTGACCTTTTTCTTGGCCGGCGGAGCGGCGGCCGGCGCCGGAGCCGGCGCTGGAGACGGCTCTGCGGGCGGTGGCGTCGGCGCCAACCCAGCTGTCGTCGACAGAGACTTCTCTGATGGATGTCCCTGCTGCTTCTTCTTCGCTAGCTTCTTCTTGAATATCGACAGCTTACTGCTCTTGACATCGACAGGCTTCGGCTTTTTCTTTTTCAGCTTTGCCTTTTCAGCGTCGGGTCTGACCCTGGGTGAGGTGGCGACCGCGGCCGGGGGCGGCAGCGCGGTCGGCGGCGGCTCGATAGCCGACCGGCTGGTACCCGGCTCAGTCTTGGGCTTCTTGAATGGCTTCAGCTTGGCTGCCTGTGTGGCGGTGGGCAGCTTCTCGGGGCTGCTGCCGGCGCTGCCCTCCTCCTCCTCCACCTTGACGTCGATGATGTCGAAGAGGTCGTCGTCGCGCAGCCAGCGGTCGCGGTTGCGGCGCTCGTTCTCCCGCTCGGAGAGCCGGCGGTAGGTGTCGGCGCGCTGACGGCGCGTCTTGATGTGCCGGTAGTCGTCGCCGCAGTCGTCCAGCGGGTCGGGCAGCCGCGCCTCGGGCAGCTTTCCCTCGCGCGCCGGCGAGATGAAGCCGGAGGTGGTCATCATGACGCTGCTGATCTCGCGCATCGGCCGGCCCTCCTCCTCAGGCAGGTAGCTGAGGGCGCAGAACGGGCGCACGGGTCACAGGTCTGCCACCGGGACAGAAAGACGCAACAGACACAACCCTCCCGTCACCGCAGAAAGAGGTACAAATACTTCACACTCCAGGATATGGTATCCTGATGGTTTAAGCACAGATCAACGCCATCATAACGCGAATCTATTCCCAACTCTACTACGATGACCAATATGATGACCAATTAAACCCACCCGCCCGGCGGAGGGTTATCTATGTCAAACCTCTAACATCGCTCGCTGCTCACCGTCCCCGTTTGGCGTCGGCGCCGAACGAGTCCCCGGGCCGCTTCAGACCGGGACTGGAGGTGGTGGCCGCGCCGCGGGACGTCGCCGGGTCCGCCGACGGAGAGTCGGTGGTCTCGTCATCTGGCGAGTACAGGAAAAGTATGCCTAGTATATTTGCCATGTGGTTTCGTGGTTACATTACAAAGCCACACTAGTATACAAGGCGGTCATAAATTACGTTTAGAAAAAACAACTCATGGTGTACACAACATGAAATATGGACCGTACTTGGCAAATTGCCACTAGCAATGAAAATAACTTATGACATAACCAGTAGCAGAGCCTACCGTAATGTCTCGGCCTCCGTCACCGATACTTATCTGCCTTCCTATCAGTCTACTGTAGCTCGCAAGACACACATGATAGGTACCCTTCCAGAGACACAATGAGTCCATCCACACCACGTCAACCAAACAGCGCACGACCCCGGCGCCGCACGTACCTGCTGTGTCCGGGTGCATGGGCGGCAGGTGCTCGTACACGTGAATGGGCCGCGTCACGATCTCCTGACTGCCCGGCTTCAGGAAGCTGAGGTTGGTGGCGCGCGGCACGGGCAGCTGCGGCACCGGGTGCGGAAACGGCAGTGGCTCCACCGACGACAGGTAGTCCTCCAGCTCCGCGACGGGCACGCCAAAGTCGCGCAGCGCCAGGCCCAGGTCGTCCAGATTGGCCAGCGTGCGGTCAACTGACGGCAAAGGCGCGCAGGTGGCGACGTCAGCACGTGCAGGCGAAAAAATGACATAGTTACACCACGTGCCTGACTTAATAAAAAGATCTTGGCAACATGTAAATAATGCACTCTTTATAAAATACCGATAATATAAAGCAGAATGGAGATACAGCAATTGGATATGATTCAGTACCATTTCAAACAGTACCTACCTACAAAAAACACGGAAGCTGAGTGCACACAGCTGTCAGCAGTGCAATAGAAGTGTTGGAGTTTCATCAAGACATCGGGCACTCTAAGCTACCACCGCCCACCTGATTCCCGCTGAGCGTGCAGTACTCACACTGGTTGGCGTATCTGCCAGTCAGCTTGGCCATCTCGCTGATGTAGTTCTTCATCACGTCCACGAGCACGTCGAGCGCCGTGCCGGAGGCGCTCTGCCAGCCGAGCGACTGACAAAGCTGCGCCACGGCCACGCGCACTGCCGCCCTGTGGTACTGCTCAGAGGTCGACAGCGACGGCATACTGGCGCCTGAAAGGCGGCACAGACGGGAGGCAGTCAGAGCAACAGTCGCAACAGTGGGTTAAGCGTCGACATAGTGGCTGAAAGGCGGCAGAGGCAGTGGTCACAGGAGCAGCCAGGAGAATCTGGACATCGCCGGCATAAACTGGCTGAAAGGCATGACGAGCCTGCTGGGTTGCTGGCCGGCAGTACCGCAGGCATGTTGTCGTTACAACAATAAAAAAAAACACACACACACACACACAACGTTTCTGAGCATAAGGTTTGCACAACACACTACCAAGTACCAGCATCGTTACTAGTCTTGAAAACCTATATAAAAATTGTCCGGGTAGAGGAGCCAAAGAAGAGTCAGAACGAAAGTGAATAAAAAATATACACACGGGCGTGCCCAAACTGTCTGCCAATGCTCCAGTACACAGGTATCTGCTCGAGGAATGGTTACTTAGCAAGTTAAATCAATTTGAAATCCTAAGCGAAAGTGCGTTAGATACATACAGGTCACAGCTCAATTGATATGAATGCAAGTTTAAAATCACTCACCAGTTGTTTTGTTGTTTTGTAGAAACTATATATTCTCACTTCAACTCATGCACATTACTGTGCACTCTAAGCATTCACACCATTTCCGACTCTACATAAGATAATCCTCCAATGTACACTACACTATCAGTCACCTCACACTACCCTGAGCCCCTGAGGGTGCCACTGAATTCACTACACGAAGTCCACGTCCTCTGGATCGTCCGAGGGCAGTGCCCGATCGCGTTCGTCCGACGGCGGCGGGGCGTCCACCCAGAAGGCAGAGTTGAAGCGGCGCCGGGCTCGCACCGACTCCGGCACAGCCTCGTGGCCGTACACGCAGTGGCGACACGCGTTGCCGCAGCACTGGCCACGCAGAAAGTGCCGCAGCCGCGTCAGCACGCGCAGGCCCGTCTCCGGGTCGTCGTAGGTGAAATGTCCGGCCTCGACGGCGCGCTGGTGGGCCTCGTGCGCGGTCCGCTCGGCTTCCGAGAGCTCCTCGATGCGAAGCTGAGTCAGCAGCAGCCGCTCCTGCTCGGCGAACGCCTCCCTCAGCTGCCGGCGGCGGCGGGCGGCGTCCGTCGGCGGCGGCTGCGAGCAGAGGGTGAGGTGAGCGCCGCGCCACAGCCGACCGGCACACTGTGCAGCGCCCACTGGCCACCGGATGGGCCGTGTACTGAGGAGCATCAGCCTGTAATAGCAGCGCCAAGGGCAGCAGAGTTATAGGTAGTACTTAGATGTTCTCAGAAATGCAGTTGAGAGGGACGTAATCTTCGTAATAGTAATTAACCCTCGCCCGCACATGGGGGGGGGGGTTGCCCCCCCCAGGTAGTCTTTCTGCTCTGCACTCGACATTTTTAAAGCTAGAAGGCTGATTTTTCGTATAGCTGCTCCTCTATCCTTTCTTGATGTCCACTAAAAATTTCAAGTTTCTGTGATTTTTGGTTTCGGAGATATGACCTTGTTTTTCAGGTCATGTCATGACCCAAATGGCCAATTCTCAACATCTTGCGTTTGCTATGGGCCTTGTGAGCTTTTGACACCTTGATTTCGGCCTTTTTTGCCAGTCTTACCTCCAACCTATCATGGAGCATGTTGTTCGACGATGTACAGGTGTCAAGGTCAGGGTCAAGGTCAACCTAGGTCATCTAAGATAATTGCGTTTTAGGCAAGCTGAATTTACTTTTTGTGAAGTTTTTTGACTGCATTTTTGGTAAAAGCTTCTCAGATCATGATTTCATGTAATATGGACACATAAACAGTCGGTGCACACATCAGTATACACACAGACACACACAGACATACAAACACATATAATTGATCTTGACCTAGCTTGACCTGAAATGACCTCAGCAGCAAAAATCTGGTCGGGTAGTGTGAAAAAGAGGTTCTAGCTGGCTTGGCACCAGAAAACGGCATCATCATCGGTATATGATAAGCAGCGCACTTGATATCCAACGGTGACCCAAAACAGCAACATTTTTTAGTTTGACCTGACCTGGAAGGTCAATGACTGACCTGAGAAGGTAAAACTGGGTATCATTGGATTCCTCTCTTCCCAAAGAATCTTTTTGGTCTTTACCTCTAAGCTCTATCTCCAACAGGAACGAAATGGCGCGGGGGGGGGGGGTGGCAACCACCCATGTGCGTTCTAGGATGGCAAAATGGCATGTGCGGGCGAGGGTTAAAAGAGACTAACATAAAAATAACTATAAAGACGAGTACTGTTGAAGCAATGCTTGTTTCGTGCCCAGCATCTGTCAGTCTCCACCTGGTTCAGCTATTTTGAGGGAGATGTTTAAAGAAACTTAACACATCACAGAGGAATATTGGTAATAATTCACCCATGTTCAATTCAAAATCCATGTTTTTCTTGCGCTCTAGGGCCTAGGCTAAAGAAGTCGGGTGAAAGAATCAGATATGCCCCTATACCTTTAGCATCTAATCTACACCTGTGCAAATCTTTGTCCACAAATAGCTGTTACCCCTCATTAGGATCCCAGTTACCCTAGGGGGGCACTGCAGCCAATATGCCACATCATTGCTAAGTGCCAACTGCTAAGTGAGATTTGTCAGAAACAAGATCTAGAGGGTTCAGTTCAGATAACAGATTAGAAGGCCAATAATCTGTTGGAAGAAATCAAATTTGAAATGCAAGTTTAAGACAGAAGACCAGTCTGGAATTCAGAGAATAGATTGATGTTCCCATTGGCCATTGCTGACCCATCCATACATGTATAATAATCCTGTCAGCAGGGCTGCGGAGTCGGAGTCGGAGTCGGTCGGAGTCGACAGTTGTGACCGGAGTCGGAGTCGGAGTCGATATTGGAAACCCCAGCCGGAGTCGGAGTCGGAGTCACCGAAAATCTGTCGACTCCACGGCCCTGCCAGGTGTGCGGAGTCGGGAGTTGGAGTCGATCGGAGTCGACATTTTTGCCCGGAGTCGAAGTCGGAGTCGGAGTTGGTTTTTGAAAGCCGGAGTCGGAGTCGGAGTCGGAGTCGCCGTAAATCCATCGACTCCGCAGCCCTGCCTGTCAGGTCACCTACCTGTCCCAAATTCATACCCCGCGTTCGATGTCTCTCGGACGACGAAGATTCTACGTCGTCCGGCCAATCCCGTCCAAGGTCAGCGGGGGCTCGGCTGCGGTTATGGAACGTGATTGGCCGGACGGCGTAGAATCTTCGTCGTCCGAGAGACATCGAACGCGGGGATAATGTGGGCACCAAATAGACCCCTGGTCAAGCTCATTAACCTATCCTTATCCTTATGCTAAGGTAGGTCAGCTGTCAGGTTAGGTTATATTATCTTTATTTAGTTTTTCCTGGTTAAGAACAGCCATACAAAGATTTGTCCAAATCAATATGAAGATTAGCTACACAAGCCTTTAAGCACCCTCTAAGAAATGCAGGAATTCACAAAATGTAAACATGAAACAGAAAGGAAAGAATGCATCCTTCTGACTTCTGAGCTTAAAAGTGACACTACGCAGCAATGGACAATGCTTACAACTCAAACTTCTTACGCAAAACATTCAAATTGTGTGAAAGTTGCATGATTTCCATTCAATTTGAGAATGCAAAATACAAATTTCATCCGAAGATTGGTCTTGGGTCTGCACAGACGATTTACGAATTCACGATTCACTTCAACTTGTGAGTTGTGGGGGAAACTATTTGAACTTCAAATTTCCTGTTTTAGGGGCATTGAAATTTCCATTCATCGGCATAGGTTGAGGCAAGGCTATATAAGGTTGAGGTATCCTACCTAATCTAAATTATTTATATACACTGTGCTACTGCTAAATGCTATATGGTACATAAATATACACCGCCTTGCTATCTCAGCTTCACTCAATATACCCTGATCTCAGCAACCATCGATACATATTTCTCGATTCTTATTTCTCACCCTACAAATCTATACGCCCAACAAACGACGCTCCCCACACTCCTGTGGAAATTTTTATTTCTTATTTCGCTGAATTACGAAAGCTAAGTAGCCTGCATTTCAACTCAATTTGCCAGCTATCCTACGTCATTAGTTTTGACACAAAAGTGCGATTTTTTGTGAGTTGAGCTCAGTTACGGTTTATTAGCCATTCATTTCTTTCTGGTAAATGCATTTTAATATGAAAATAAGAAATACTGCAAATTTGATCGAAATTTTTCTTACTTTTATATCATTTTGCAATGGTTCCTATGCCGTCATACCTCGCCATAAAGCCAATGCTGTTCATCATATTTATCAATGACTTACCCGAATCCGTGCAGAGCTCCATCAAGGTCTTTGCAGATGATACCAAAATCTTCGGAACACCATCGTCCACTGGAACAAGCTCAATCCAGCGAGACATTGAAGAAGTGGCCAAGTGGTCGGAGAAGTGGCAACTGCCGTTCAATGAATCAAAGTGCAAGGTCCTTCATCTCGGCCCTAGGAATCCTGGGCACTCATACACCATGAATGGTCTCCAGCTGAATACGGTTGAAGTAGAGAAGGACCTGGGGGTTCAGCTGGATTCTGACCTGAAGTTTCGTAAGCAGGCCGCGTCTGCAGCTGCAAAGGGCAACCAAATGCTCGCACTGATAAAAAGATCGTTCATTTGCATTGATGCGACTACCCTGCCGATTCTCTTCAAAACGCTGGTACGACCCCATCTAGAATATGGGAACCTCATTTGGGGGCCCTTCAACCGAGCTGATCAGAGGCTGATTGAACGAGTGCAGCGGAGAGCAACCAAACTGGTCCGTGAGCTAAGACACTTGCCCTACCAGGAACGCCTCCGGCGACTCAAGCTCCCATCACTATATCACCGAAGACGGAGAGGAGACGTAATCGCCATCTTCCAGATTTTGACGGGAGGAGTCAACGTTCGGCCGGACCAGTTTTTCGAGCAGGCAGTCTCATCTGTCACCAGAGGACATGCTCTGAAGCTGCTGAAGCCTCAAGCTGCTTCAAGACCCAGGAGACACACTCTGTCGGTCCGCGCCATCAACGACTGGAATGCGCTTCCTGCCTCTGTGATCCTCTCTACGTCTGTCAATATCTTCAAAGCCCGTCTCGACTCTCACTGGGGTGATGCATCCTTTGACATCCCAGCCCAAGATTCATGACTGTCTCTAGTAAGGAGCTCGATGAGATCAGATCCCTACAGGCCTTATAGGCCTCAAAATTCTGTATTGGTAAGGTAAGGTAAGGTAAGGATAAACATTAATCAATACTTAACTTGTTACCCTATTCAACGTCCCGCTAATCATAAAAATTATCGAAGGTATCCATGACAGCGGATAATTATACACTCTTATTAGTTCGGTGTTAGGGTTGAAAATGGTTATTTCTTGCATACCCTTTCTGTTTTTATCGTTGATCAACTCGTTCCATTAAATTTCATGTTTTTTCCGTGTTAAAAAGTGCTTTAATATATGATAACGTTATTTCTTGTTTAGGCTGATCCTGCAAATTGAAATGGAAAAGCCGCTAGTCCATGAAGTCAACCATCCACCTGTCAAAAAAAAAACTTGACACTTGTTGTTATTGATGAATGGTGTGGCCTAGTACCATTTTTATTTTCAGTGTTTCTGTACTTCGATAGGTACGGTCAAGGCCATCTATAGAGTATTGTCTCTTAGATGGCCTTTAGTATTGTCATTTTTGGTGGATATCACCCTCTTTCACCTTAGTTAGGCTCAAAACTAAATAAAAACTGCACCATATTGTCATAAAACATATTAGCCAAGGAAATTGATTTAATGCCAAAAAAATCTGGTGCACTACATTCAGGACTAATGAAACCAAATATTGATATAACCTGACTTAACCTTACTTACCTAACCAGTATAATGCCTTTTGGGGTGACTAACGGAGCGAGCGAGAGGGTGGGCCTTGCACGTGCGAAATTGCGAGGGGGTACCTCCAACTGTTTTGTGCACAGCACCCTGCTAACCGGTCTCTAGCGATGTTGCAAATTTGGGCACAATCGGCCCAGCCGTTCTCGAGATCTGGAAGTGGCACCCTGCACGTGCGCACGTGCAAAATGGGTCCCAACTGACTTGTGCACGGCACCCTACTAACCGGTCCCTAACTGTCTACCAAATTTGAGCGCAATCGGTCCAGCCGTTCTTGAGATCTGGAAACGACCCCTGCACGTGTGCACGTGCAGCACCACCCCAACTCTGGCACATGAATATGCATTGCCTAGTGGGTGCCTTCCTACATGCCAACTTTCAGCGCAATCGGCCAAGTAGTTACCGATATATTGCAACAATTACAAAACTGACACCTCTTCGTTTTGCACGTGGCACGTGCATAAGGGGTCACCCACATGCATCGGAATAGTCCAATACTTGGTAGAAGGAATGAAGCTACCCTACAAAAATTACCGCATGTAAATCGGTCAAGTGGTTGCTGAGATTGTCAAGTGGTTGCCTCGCAAAAGCGTCCGCACGGCCGGCCGCTCATACTCAGAAATTTCTGTTAATCTAAGGAAAGCCTTAGCCTGTCTCGTAGCTCAGTTGGTAGAGCATCGGACTCCCGGTAGTGAGAGCCCGGGTTCGAGACGCTCCGGCGCTCGATATATGAGACTCCTGACGGGGATGGTCTGCGGTTGGTGGGAGCAGCCGCAGTCAGTTGAGGTCAGTTGAGTTGGACAGGCCGTGTCCGGCTTTGAAGGGCACGTTAAACTTTGGCATCGAAATTCTCCCGTTACCCGGAATTGCGCGATCGGACGGTAGGGGTCGGGGTCTACGCAACAAGCTCTGCTTAGCGTGGGCTCCGGCTCTGTCAATCCGTTCATTCAAACATTCGAGCTAAATTTATAAAAAAAGACTACGCTCGCTTCGCTCGCTCCGTAATGATTACGAAACATAACTTTATCTGACAGTGTGTGGACTGTGGTGGGGACACAGGGCCTGTGAGCAGCCCTCTGGTTAATCTAGCAGCAGATTCGCTCTGTGAGCGTCTCTGGAAAGGTTTCGGGACGAGACGTCCCTGCCTTGGTCATCGCGTGGTGTATACTCGAACTGGCGATCCGCTCTGAGTCTACTTGGCGGAGGAGCGGCCGCCCAGGTGAGGCCTTAATCCTCGGTGTGGAGATAGGTTTGGAAGACCTTGCCACTTCCTGCCCACTTTGGTATCAAGGGGAATATGAGCGCGGACGCCCTGGCGAAACTAGCGGCCACCCTGCCCTCAAACGCCTGCTCGCTGACCAGGGCGGCTCATTGTGTGGCCTCGCATCAATGGCTTGACAACTGGTCCGAGTCACTATTGAAGCCGCTCCTCGGGAGCACGCCGCCGCTCCCCATCTCCGGCGAGGACCAAGAGGACGCCGTATCGGTGCACCAGATGAGGGCGGGTCACTGAATCGGCCGTCTCCACTCCGCGGCGTGCTAGCAGCGCCTAGAGCCCTGTTTCACCGGTGATAGCAGCACGCTGCTATTCCATTTCGCGAGCTGACGTCACACTTCTGGTAGTGTTGGAGGAATAGGCTTGTTGACGTTTCCATGGAAACCCAATTTGACACGTGTGATAGCAGCTTGATAGCAGCGTGCTGCTATCACCGGTGAAACAGGGCCCGGACAAGCGGTGCCCCGTGGCGCTCTTCGCCATGTGCCAAGAAGAGGCTGACGTGCCGGAGCACGTGCTGCTACGCTGCCCGGCCATCGCTGACGCCCGCTAGCCTTCGGACACACCGCTCCGTCGATTTTTGTGGCCCCCGGAACTTCCGGCTGTTTATGTTATCACAAATGTTTTCCTTTGCATGAACTTGAGTTTTGCAGGCCTTCATCCCATCATAAGAACTGCAGGAATTTACAAAATAAAAACAAAAGGAAAAGACACATCCTTCTAAGCTTGAAGAATGTGTATTTTCTATGATCTTTCTTTTTTCTACATCCTTCTAAGCTTGAAGGATGTGTAAAAAATGGGCGCACAACACATGGACCCATTTTTAGGGCATTTGCCCCAGCCAGCCATTCCAAGGGCTAGTAGTTATGAGCTTGGGTTACATCTGGGCTTGTCACTGGACTCAATCTGGGTCCCAGATGGGTTAAATGGGTACCTAAGTGCTAGATCTTTACGAGTTTCGGACACAAGATGGAGGATACCTATCATACTTGTTGATATACTTAATTAGTAGTCACATTTTTAGTGCTGTTATTGTTTTGTCACCCTATCAGTGTGTCAAATTTAAAAGCCATCTGATTTTCAGGCTTCATTCACAATGTCTGTTGAAGGAGAATTACTGGTAGAAGATCATTACCAGCTAGCCGGCTGGACAGTGATCGATAACAGCACAATCAGTCTGTATGAAAATGGAACTGGTAAGAATACTTTTAACAAGTTAATCATGTGGCGAATAGAGATCTCAGGTAACTTGTGGGAGTCTTATTTCTCTTCATTTATATCAGTTCGATAAAATAGATGATTTTTTTGTGAAAGTGGACCTGCTGTTGCACTTGACGTGTCTGATATTTTGATGATTTGTTTTGTAACAGAAAAAAGACCAAATAAGCTGTACCTGTACTGTAGTGTTGGCAAAGTTTTTTTGTGGTTTTGCTAATCCATTGGTGTCTGCAGTGTGCTGCTGACGCCGCACTGTATGCAGTGTGTCGCTGACGCCATACTGTATGCAGTGTGCTTCTGACGCCGTACTGTATGCAGTGTGCTGCTGACGCCGTACTGTATGCAGTGTGCTGCTGACGCCGTACTGTATGCAGTGTGCTGCTGACGCCGTACTGTATGCAGTGTGCTGCTGACGCCGTACTGTATGCAGTGTGCTGCTGACGCCGTACTGTATGCAGTGTGCTGCTGACGCCGTACTGTATGCAGTGTGTCGCTGTCTCGCTGATGCCGTGCTGTATGCAGTGTGTCGCTGATGCCGTACTGTATGCAGTGTGTCGCTGATGCCGTGCTGTATGCAGTGTGTCGCTGACGCCGTATGGTGTGCTTCCGAGACGCCGTGATGTGTTCAATGTTCCGCTGACCCCGTGGTATATGTCGCTGACGCCGTGGTGTGTGCCGCTGACGCCGTGCACTGTGTTCCTGACGCCTACCGTGTGGTGTGTGCCGCTGACACTGCATTCTCTGTGTGCCGCTGACGCCGTGGTATATGCCGCCTTGTTGTCCGTGTCGCTCACGCCATGTTGTGTCTTGCTGCGGTCGTGGTGTGTTCGCCGACGCCGTGCAGTGTGCGCCGCTGACTCCGTGGTAAATGCCGCTGACGTCGTTGTGTTGTTGTGCGGCCAGTGCCGAAGGACTGCTGTTCGGTCGGCTGGCAAGTGACTGAGAAGACGTGGTGGTGGTTCGGCTGCGTCATGTTCATCGCGCTGCCGCTACTGTTTGCCACCATCAAACACTGCAGGTCAGTGTCTGATTGCCACTAGGTGACTCGTAGGGCCGATATTTTCGTCTTGGTGTAAATTGTGCGCTAGCAAGCGTTTACAATGAGAAGGGTAAGGATTCATGCGATTTAATTATTGTATTTTGATTTCTCCTGCCCTGCTCGTCTGTACATTATGCATCGCTTTTTATTTAGTTATTTCATATTTGTTTGTTTTTAGGCTCTTGTGACTGTCACTAGGAGAAGAAAAGGTCTCACTTTAACCTGCGATTCCTCCATCACGCATGCTGTGTATTGTTTTTCATCTGGGATGTTTTGTATTCGTTAAAGGGACCCTCCCACCTTCAAAAAGTCAATGAATTGGCATGAAAGTGATGTCGCTCGGTTCAGAAAGAGCAAAAACGAATATCTACCAAATTTCATCGAAAAATATCCACCAGTTTTCAAGATATTATACTTTTACTTTTGTTTACTTTTTGGGATCTCCGCTGTTCCTAGCGACTTTATTTGAAAGTGCGGCATTTGTTGCGCGCAAAGCAGCATATACCACCGCGTGCTACAAAACGTTTTAGTCAAACATTTAACGGACGTTCGAAAGCCTGATGACGTCATCAGATTCCCGTAATGGTTAAGAGATAGGGACCACGCTGGTCCCACCCTGCAAGTAAAGGGAAGAAATTTCTTGAACACCATAAAGCTGCGGGGGCTGCGACCAGGATAAATGGTGGTTTCTGAGCCTGGCCGCAAACTTGGCTATCTCAACTCAAAACTAATGTTAAGGTGGGAGGGTCCCTTTAAATAACGGATCCAATACACGTATGCAATGAGCCTTCCCCAGGTTCGGTTCGAGTGCTCACCGCGTTCTGCCCGTTTCCCACAGTCGACTAGCGGAGGACCCCAAGGCTGTGTCCAAAAATAAGCGCGCCATCTTCAAGCTGATTCACGGTAAGTGGTCGTCGGTGCCAGAGTTGATTGATGCAACAGCCCACGGCAAATGGCAAATATTGGTGTGTATCCTTATATCTGTGCATTGTATATCCAGGGTTGTGTAGTGATCTGTTGATAATCTTTGGGCGGAAATGTTTATATTTTCCCGTGTTTCGACTCTTTTTAGGGAGTTTATTTCAACGCTCGCCGCGGACTCAAAAGCTCCAATCATCTAGTATAAGCGTCGGCGATGAATGCTTATGTTAGATAAGTTTCCATTATCCTATATGTTGGGTCACCGTTGGGTTTATAAACGGAACTAGCAAGTAGCAGTCAGCGATTGAATATGAAATTGATGATTGACGTAAACTTTGAAAAAGGACACTTTGTGAATTATGTTGTCGGTACTTAGGTATAACGAAGCCATGTTATACGCAACGACAGCTCCCACCTTTTGAGATATCAGTTAACTTAAACTTATTCTTCTCCCCGCTAGACCATGGCTGAACAAAGGTAAGCCTCCGTGGTGTGCGTTTTTCGTAACATTTTCCTGCATGGCCCACTTATTTGTGCTGTATTTCGGATTTTTCGGTGAGCGGCTGGTACGGTTTTTGGTTAAAATAATGCCATATCCGCTGCTTAGTGCTTTCTATGAGTTTTATTCCAAGGGATCATTTGTCCAAGTATGAGTTTTGACGTGCCTGCGGAATGACGTTTATTTAATTCATCCTCGCGATTGAAGACGCACCGATGACCACCGCCCTACCTCCCCCCCCCGCGATTAGAGGGTCGTTGCTTGGTTGTTTTTCTGTGTTGTGTAGTTTTTAATTGGCATCACAGCGTTTGAAATGCTTTCATATTATTGACGAACATGACCCCAACAAGTTTGCGGGGTAGACTTTCTTTTGAGTAGTTTGCTCCATTGCATGCACTTTCTCACAATGCGTGTTTTCCTTATTGAGGGCTGAGGCAGCACTAGATCTTGAACAGCCGTGACCGAGCTGTCGTTAATTCCTGGGCTGAACGTCCCTCTGTGAGGTAGCCATGCTCTGGTATGTGTGCCGTGGCCGCGGCTGATCTCCGCCGTACCCGGACGGAATCGGCGTCGTTGCAGGGCCACTGTCGCCGGCCTGTCCGCCGGCATCCCGGTCTGTTTGTGTACCACTGACCAGGCCTCCCACCTCCGAGCGCAGTAGAGCTCCGCCGGGACCTGCCACTCGACCAGATCCCGGCTCATGTTTCAATGTGGGTGATTAGGAGTCAATCAAGTGGTGGGTATAATAGACACGACATGAAGTTGTATCCAATACTAGGTGCGGTGCCGCGTATTAATCGTCTTGCGTCAATCAGTTGTTTGTTGTGGCTCGGCCGGTTAGGGCGAGGTAACGCATTGGTACTCGAATAGGCTCCTGTGCTGCCCTGGTTGTGCCGCTGCCAACCCTGGTAGTGCTCGTGGAGATGTTCGCTTGGACTAATGAGAACGAATGATGCCCCATGGCTACTGTCGACCGACCAATCACACTTGCACTTGCACGTGTTCATTGCTGCCCTGCTTTAACCCTCGCCCCGTTGGGCGGGGGGCAATATAGCCCCCCTGTGGTTTTTCCTAAATAGCAAGAATTTGGCGGCGCTGTGCGCCGCCAAATTCTCAGTACCTTCCCGGGCATCAATTCCATACCTTCACACAAAATTTCAAGTCTTAGGTCACCTTAGGCCAGGAGTTATTGAGGTCAAACTGAGGTCACGTTCGAGCAAAAATGAGCAAAAAACGTGAAATCTTGAAACGCTCACAAAAACTACAGTTACCAAGCAGTTCAAGTTTCGATGTCCAATCATGTGGTCGTTTAGAGAAAAGCCAGCGCTACGAAACTGCTATCTCGGATTTTCAAAATTTTGTGATTTTGACCCTCAATATAAAAAAGATTTATTTTTATCAAATAGCAAAAAAAAATGTGAAAGTTTTTCGAATTTCGAAAAAACGGCATCTATATGGAATCCATACGATTATTTATCTACATACCAAATTTGATCGATACCTCCTTTCTTGGCCAAGTTATAGCGAAAACTATTCAAAATTGATGACGTCAAATTTTTAACTCAATTTTTTAGCAATTCTAGACCACGTAGCGCAAAACAAAGACCTACATTAGACTCCCCGTGACGAGCTGCATCGAATCGGTACCCATTTTATGCAAAAATATCAAGTTTCAAATTTGACTTACCTGACCTGACCTTCGCCTTCACCAGAACAACCTTAACTGGCCCTTAACCCTATTCCTGGCGGGGGGGGCCTCAGGAGCCCCCCCTGAGGTTTTTTGGTTATATCTCCCAAACGCGTTGAGCTAGGAAGCTCAAATTTTCTGACTTTTCCTAAAAGGCTTCTACGCAACATGTCTGAAAATTTTGAGTTGATCTGACCTCAGGTCAGGTCACCAGAGGCGGTTTGGTGACGCTACCTCAGAAAAGTTTGCAATCACGCCAGAGCTAGAGTTTTTGACCGATCAATTTCTTCTCTTCAGGGTTTAGTTAGGGTACCAGTATGTGCAATTTGTATATCTCGGAATTTTGATATCGGTGACCTAAGGTCAGGTCAATTTCGCGACCTCCCCATTATAAGTCAATGGGGGAAAAATCAACTCCCTGTTTTTACCGCTAAAACGGGTCGGAATGGCCCCATATACCATACATGACTTCATATACGATCAACCTTCACTACCTTGAGGTCTGTTTTGCTGTTGGGCAGCTGTGAGGTCATGTGACGTCATCAAAGGTCACCAAAGGTTTTTGGCCAATAACTCCGTACAGGAACAAGATACAGACGCGTGGATGGTCTCATTGTGTTCAGCTCGTCAAGACGCATCGAATGATATACATGATGACCTCGAGGTCACGTGACCTGAGGTCAACCTTTGACCTTGACCTTTCGAGGTCAACATATATATCATTCGATGCGGATTGACGAGAGGATCACGATGATGCCCTTAGTTTGTTCCTATCTTGACTGATTCGAAAGTTATTCGAGAAAAACTCTCTCCATATCTAGTGCCGCCATTTTGACTTTTTCGACCCCTGTGACGTCATCTTTGACCTGACCTGAAAATGACCTTAGTAAAAATTGTAGATCTTGGCCGTGCGTATCCGATGCCGTTTACCGCTTGTCGCTATCTTGCTTCGTTCTCGAGATCTCAGGGGGGGGCCGAATCGGCCCCCCCCCCGCCAGTTTCTTGTCCCGGCGGAGCCCGCCAGGAATAGGGTTAAGGCTGCCTGACCCACATTATCGCATTTGTCATGTAAAATGGGCCATAAAACATGTATCATACGACACTTTCGTATTGTGACCCTCAGTGACCTGACCAAGTGGCCTCAAGTATCAGAATGTGTTTGATGGACAATTTCATATCGAAGATTTTCAATAATATGCCTTTTTACTCGATTTTACAGCACATTTCTTGAAATACCTGTAAACGGTGAAAATTCGACATTTGACCTGACCTGTGACGTCATCGTTAGACCGAGGTCAATGAAATTGGGTCACAAGGTAGTTCTTCGTTGGGGCTTTCCAACACCGTTTGCTGCTTGTCGCTATGTTGCGTGGTTCTCGAGATCTTAGGGGGGGGGGGTCAAAATGCCCCCCCCCCCTAACGGGGTGCGCTGCTCGGCAGACCCCAACGGGGCGCGGGTTAATATTGGTCATGAATTCATCATCCCGACGTCGATAGAACACGACATCTCTCCCTTCAGATCCTTCGTTTGATTGTAAGGGGAACTCGTGGGGTAAGGATAGTGATGTCTTTCTTTCTGCGAGTATGTCAACTGTCGTGCCTCATTGTCAACAAAAAGACGGCTGGCTCTGAGCGCCCAGAAGCCTAAACAGCAGTCTGGTGACCGTGTGACGTGCCCTGGCTCAAAGTGCTTATTTGTGTTTACTCGTGTAGTTTCTTCGGGCACAACGCAACACCCATCAAAGAGCTGGACGCTAGTGTAGTGCTGTTTTCTCTGCTGCTTCAGTTGGCACGATCTTTATTTACAAACCTAAGGCTTCTTGAATCGCATGTCTTGTTTAAGTGTCGCCAGTCACCAGTCATGCTCTATGTTCTTACATATTGTGGGAAATGCTTCAGGTTTTACATGGCTCAATACTTTCGTAATTACCGGACGGCAAACGGCAGAGCACGCCTGCCGAGTCGTACAGCAGTTCATTGAGTGATCAGGTGGCTATTGGCCGTTGGTTTTGCCGTATTGGTGGCAGCACCGCTGGAGTGCTGTTCCGTGTAGCATTGTGTGCGGTGCCGGCCGCTGTGGCAGCTGAGCGCTGCTGGAGGTCTGCAGCCGGCAAACTGCATGTGTGTGTGTGTGTGTGTGTGTGTGTGTGTGTGTGTGTGTGTGTGTGTGTGTGTGTGTGTGTGTGTGTGTGTGTGTGTGTGTGTGTGTGTGTGTGTGTGTGTGTGTGTGTGTGTGTGTGTGTGAGTGTGTGTAGGCATTGGTTGCTGACAATGACGCCCAGTGGTCGGCTCTCACGCCAAAGGGCGCCGTCAGAGACGGCTGGCCGGCAGCGGCGCAGTTCCGCTGGCGGCCAGCTAATGAGTTCAGGAATTTCTTAGGAGCAATAACTATAGGAGGTGTTCATGGATAGTGCACACTGCACACCCTTCAGTATTCGTAGCTTCTTGCTCTTAGACCCCTTAGAAAGGGTGCCATCGCTTTTAGTAAATGTAGTTAATTGACATGTTTACCCTGCTTGGTGATGTCTTGGGTTGTAAATGACCTCTGTGGCCACATTTCTGACAGGCTCGTTTTTTTCCTGCATATCGGCGCTTAATATCGACCTGTGTTTCGTTAGCTAAGAGTTAAATGGTGAACTGCCTTTTATTGGGCTCTGCTGAATCCAGAAGATATGCGTGAACATGCATCAACACTGCGTTCAAAATATTTCCGGGAAACTAGCATAGGCGGCGGAACGGGGAGGGCACCGGGGCACCGTGCCCTTTTGATTTGGGTATTTTAACATTAGCCCTATG